GGAGCTCGGCCTGCGTGTGACGACGCTAAAGGCGCTGGAAGAGACTGGCCGGGCGGCGCGGCAGCCACCCACGAATGTCGCTTCAACTGACGTGGCCATCTTGATGTAGTATATGTACACCGTGATGCCGTGCTTCTGACGCTTTTTCTAAATAGGTATACGAGCGGGACGACGGGCAACCCAAAGGGTGCGCTCTTGACCCACGCGTGCCTTCTCGCGCTGTTTCCTGGCATCGACGACCGTATTCTGCCCTTCGAGCCCGTGGCCTCCCTTTATCTCGCCGGACCCGTCATGCTCTCGTACTTGCCGCTCGCACACGTTGGTGAGAACCAGCTGCAAGCGTACGTCATCCACCACGGCGGCGCGATCGGGTTCTACCAGGGCACGCCGCTCAAGATCGTCGACGACCTCCGGGCGCTGCGCCCGACCATTTTATTCAGCGTTCCGCGCCTGCTCAACCGCATCTTTGACAAAATCATGGAAGGTGCGCTCGGAGCCGGTGGCGTCAAGGCGTGGCTCTTCCAAGCTGCATACGACGCCAAGCTAGCCGGCGTCAAGGCAGGCCGCCTCGACCACTGGTTCTACGATCTGCTGATCTTCAACCCGGTGCATGGTCCTCCAACGTGAGACGGAGGTTGATGCGCCTATCTACGTAGCTCAAGACGAAACTCGGTCTCGACCGATGCGGCTTCCTCGTTTCCGCAGCCGCGCCACTGGCTCCGCCCGTCATGAACTTCTGGCGCGTCGTTCTCGGTCGCCCTTGCGTCGAAGCATACGGGCAAACAGAGACTGCCGGGATTGCATCGGTGACCGAGTTCTCCGACTTGGACCCTGGTACCATCGGTGTTGCGCTGACGAGCGCAGAGATGAAGCTCATTTCAGCGCCAGAGATGGGGTATGTCATCCACTCTTCTCAACTCTCGGGCCATTCGGACCTCGTCTAGGTATCTCACGAGCGACACGCGCCACGGCAACGAGGTCGTTAAGGGCCGTGGTGAAGTGTGCATTAAAGGCCCTACAGTCTTCTCCGGCTATTACAAAGAACCGGAAAAGACCGCCGAGGCTCTCGATGGCGATGGATGGCTGCACACTGGCGATATTGGCGTCTGGACAACCGACGGTCGCCTCAAGCTCGTCGACCGCAAGACCAACATCTTCAAGCTCGCCCAAGGCGAGTACGTGGCCGCAGAAAAGATTGAGAACGTTCTCCAGTCTTCGTCCCTCGTCAACCAAGCGTTTGTATACGGCGACAGCTTCCGGTCGAGTCTCGTGGCCATCATCGTCCCAGACGAGATCGCGCTCTCGGCGCTTGCAGCCTCGCTGCAACTCGGTGGGTCGTTGGCCGACTGGTGCCGCAACCCCGAGGTTCATAGCTCCATTCGCAAGGATGTCTCTGATGGTTATGCTAGATCATCTCTGCCGTCCTCGACAATTTGACCAAGCAGAGCAAGCAAGAGGGTCTTCTCGGCTTTGAGATGGTGCGCGCGGTGCAGCTCGAGCCGACGCCCTTCTCGGTTGAGAACGGCTTGCTCACGCCGACGTTCAAGCTCAAGCGCCACGACGCCAAGGCCTTGTACGCCAAGGTGATCGACGCGCTGTATGCAAGCAGCGGTGACGTCATTTATGTTGCGTCGCTGGGTTGAGGTTGCCTTTTAATCCAGCCAATCAGAGAGCAGCATATCCTGCTGGCGGTCTTGATAACGTTGGTACTCTGGCTCTGGTGCTGGGAAGGGTTTTGCTGCATGCCCAGTAGGCTCATCCCACGGCTTACTCGTTCTTGATGGTATACCACACGGGTTTGAAGGCGGGACCCTGTCAATTCTGGCCATGGAGCGTACTCGTCTGTCAGACGTGGAAACGATAGAAGCACCTGTGACACGGATAAAGAGCACCTGTTTATCTGAATTGGGTGCACATGTCAGGAAACGATGCTGAAACGATCCAATCAGAGCCAGGTTGGCAGTAGCATGCAAGGGGTTGTCAAGCGTGGGTGGTCTGCGTCATTCCGCTTTTGATACCATGGTCTTCCAGTTCGCGGCCGCGCCGGCGGCGATCCCCGCGCTCCTCACGCTGGCCCTCGGCGGCTGCCTGTACCAGGCGCTCAAGACGTCGCCAACTTTGCCGCTGGACATGTACTCGACGATCGATGAGGCGTCGGCTACGCCGGGCCACGGCGCGATCTACACGTACCGCGGCGAGCCCATTACTCTCGAGAAGCTCACGTTGCTCGACCAACTGCTTAAGTCCGTCGACGCATTCCCGAACCAGCCGTTCCTCGGACGCCGATCCGTGGATGCTGACGGCGTTGCGGGGCCGTTCACATGGCAGACGTACGGCGAGGTAGCTCTTGCTTTGCGCTTGACGATGTCGCTCAGTACATCAGTGCGTAGTGCTACAAGCGCATTGAATGCATCGCGTCTGGGTTCGTCAAGCACAAGATGCTGGAACCGACCGACGACGGTCACATGTTCCTTGGCATTTACATGAAGAACCGACCCGAGTGGGTGCTCTCGCAGTACGCTGCGTTCTTCGCCGGCGCGACGGTCGTGCCGATCTACGACACGCTGGGTGTGACGTCGACCGAGTTCATCCTGAATCAAACGTCGGTGAGTACCGTTGTGTGCACGTCGGCCGAGCTCGAGGGCCTCCTCGCCAAGGCCAAGTCGGCGACGTCGTTGCGTCACATCATCCTCGCCGACGTCACAACGATCGAGGCGTACTTGGTGGTTCGCGCCGGCGCGCTGGATATCCGGCTCTGGACGCTGGCCGAAGTCGAAGCCGCGGGCGCCGCCTCGCTCGTGCCGGCCGTGCCCATTTCGCCAAGTTCCATGGCGCTTCTCATGTACTACATATGCCTATATTATGATCTCGTCTCTACGACAATGCGTCTCATCTTGAGCCAGGTACACGAGCGGCACGACGGGCGATCCCAAGGGCGTGATGCTGTCGCATATGAACCTCCTCACGGTGCGTCAAGGCACGTTTGCCCGCCTCGAGTTTGGGCGCGTCGGCAAGATGCTCAAGAGCCACCCGAGTGTCCTCTCGTACCTCCCGCTCGCCCACATCGCCGAGCAAAACTTGCAAGCGAGCATGATCCACGCGGCTGGCGCGATTGGTTTCTACCAAGGCGACCCGCTCAAGATCCTCGACGACCTCCAAGCGCTGCGCCCGACCATCTTTGCGAGCGTGCCCCGGCTCCTCAACCGCATTTACGAAAAGGTCATGGAGGCCGCGATGGCTGCCGGCGGCATCAAGACGTGGCTCTTCGTCACAGCGCTGCACGCCAAGGTCGCGAACCTCGAGCGCGGGTACTCGTCGCATGCGTTCTACGACCGCCTGGTGTTTGGCAAGGTAGATAGATATATATGAGATGTCGAGGAGGATCGCGCATCTGAGATTCGTGTCGTAGCTCAAGGCCAAGCTCGGGCTCGACCGCTGCGAGCTCTTCTTTGCAGGCGCGGCCCCGCTCGCACCGCCTGTGCTTTCGTTCTACCGCGTGCTGCTCAACTGCATGTGCCTTGAAATGTACGGCCAGACCGAAGTCAGCGGCAGCTCGACGATGACCGACCACCGCGAGTGCGACGCTGGCACGGTCGGTCCGCCGCTTGTGACGGCCGACGTCAAGCTCGTGTCCGTGCCCGACATGGGGTACAGAAAGCTGCGATTTCTACGAAAACGTCGTACAACTTACATGCTCGTAGCTACCTTGTCACCGACACGAAGCACGGTGACGACGATCAATCGATGGCCGTTCGCGGGCGCGGTGAGGTGTGCGTCCGTGGCCCTGCCGTCTTCGGCGGCTATTACAAGGATGCTGCGCGCACCGCCGAGGCCCTCGATGCCGACGGCTGGCTGCACTCGGGCGACATTGGCGTCTGGACGACCGACGGCCGCCTCAAGATCGTGGATCGGAAGAAAACATCTTCAAGCTCGCGCAGGGCGAGTACGTGGCGCCCGAGAAGATTGAAAACATCGTCCAAGCCTCGCCGTACGTTGCCCAAGTGTTTGTGTACGGCGACAGCCTCCACGCGAGCCTCGTCGCAGTCGTCAACCCGGACGAAGCGGCGCTGACAGCGCTCGCCGCGACGCTCAATCTCTCGGGCTCGGTGGCCGACCATTGCACGTCGCCCGAGGTAGTAGTAGTATCATCGATGTCTGTGCTGATGTTGGAATGCTGCTGTAGGTGGTCAAGGTCGTCCTCGCGGATCTGCAGCGCACGAGCAAAGCTGGCGGCCTCCTCGGCTTTGAGACCGTGCGCGCCGTGCACCTTGACCCAACGCTCTTTGCTGTCACCAACAATCTCTTGACGCCGACGCTCAAACTCAAGCGCCACGTGGCCGCCAAGACCTATCGGTCGCAGATCGACGCCATGTACGCAAGCGTTGCCGCCAAGGCCGCGCAAGCCTAGTCGCGTTTTGTAGCTAGTGTTTTGGAGACGAATGGTGGATGTACTAACACATGTTGTCTTCGCCCACGGCTCTGTCGTCGCGACGACGGGATCTGGTTCGTCGCTGGACGCCACTTGAAGGCGACGCCACGTGGCGATGCGCCGGATACGTGCGATCAGCAGCTGCACGACTAGCACCCCTTCGCGTAGTCTCTCGGATCATGAGCGATATCGCGAGTGCGTCTTGAGCAGATAAGAACCTAGCACCATGCGCGGCCACTTTGCACCAGGTCGGATCGCGCTATCCGGATAAAGATTTGAAGGGGAACCATCTGGCGGCGGACCAGCCGAGCCTGCGCGTCAAGCGCAAGCTCGTCAGGCTTTGCGATTGGGGCATGAGAGGCGGAGGGGGATGGTCGGCGATGAGTTCACCGCGCCGATTTCAGTCGCGCGTTCCAGAACCGCCTTGCTCTCAGTATCGATCGCCGTTGCTTGCTCCAGGTCGTTTACGCAATGGCGCGCGTAACTCATACGCTCGCGTGGTTGTAGTAGCTTGCTGCTGCGGCTGTCCGCTCGTCATTTTCCATTTTCCAAGCGACGAAAGCAATCAAATATGCCTTGCTGGTCCACGGACGCGATCGTGCCACCGGCCGTCTTTTCGCAGCAGATCACCGAAGGCGACGACGTCGTCTACCGCAGCCTTCCCGGCGCTGCGCCGTTAGATGCGATGACGCTCGTCGGCAGCCTCGCGCGCACGGCGCGGCAGTTCCCGCACGCGCCCTTCTTGGGCCACCGGCCCATTGACACACGCGGCGTTGCGGGGCCGTTCCAATGGCAAACGTACTCCGAGGTACCCTACGCATCCAGCATGGTGCTTCCTAATGCCGCTAGTGCTACGCGCGCGTTCAAGCGATCGCAGCAGGCCTTGTGCACCACGAGATGCTGGAACCGACCGACGACGGCCACAAGTTCCTTGGCATTTACATGAAGAACCGACCCGAGTGGGTGCTCTCGCAGTACGCTGCGTTCTTCGCCGGCGCGACGGTCGTGCCCATCTACGATACGCTGGGTGCGACGTCGACCGAGTTTATCCTCAACGAAACCCGCCTGTCGACCGTCGTCTGCACGTCGGCCGAGCTCGAGGCGCTCATCCAGCGCGCGCCTCGCTGCCCGCACCTCCGACATATTGTCGTTTGTGACGTCGTGGCGCTCTCACTGGTCGAAATTGCAGCAGCGCGCGACCTCCAGCTCTGGACGCTGACGCAACTCGAGACGCATGGCCAGAACCAGCCCATCGACTCGACGGCGCTCAGCGTCGAGGCAATGGCGATGCTCATGTACACAAGCGGCACGACGGGCGACCCAAAAGGTGTGCCCATGACGCATGGCAACCTCAACGCCGTGCGCCACGGTATCCTCGACCGACTCCGGAGCAGCCCGCGGCTCACTGCGGTCATGAACAGCCACCCGAGCGGACTCTCGTTTCTGCCGCTCGCCCACGTCGCAGAGCAGGGCATGCACACGTCCATGATCTACATTGGTGGAGCGATTGGCTTTTACCAGGGCGACGCGCTCAAGCTGCTCGACGACGTCCAAGCGCTGCGCCCGACGATTTTCCTCAGCGTCCCTCGCCTCCTCAATAAGATCTACGACAAGGTCATGGAAGGTGCGCTCGCCGCCGGCGGCCTCAAAGCCTGGCTCTTCCAGACCGCACTCGACACCAAGCTCGCCAACTTGAGCCAAGGGTACCAGACGCACAGCCTCTTCGATGCGCTCGTGTTCACAAAGGTGCGAGTTTGCATGTCCGGATAACGCGCGATGGATTGATACACGTATATCCGGATAGCTCAAGGCGGCACTGGGGCTCGACCGGTGCGAGATTCTCTTGACGGGCGCGGCGCCGCTTTCGGCGACGGTCCTCTCGTTCTACCGCGTCGTGCTTGGCTGCACGTGCTTGGAGCTCTACGGGCAGACCGAGACGGGCGGCGCGGCCACGATGACCGACCTCCGTGAACTCGACGCCGGGAGCGTTGGCCCGCCCATGGTGTCGACCGAGATCAAGCTCGTCTCGGTGCCCGATATGAAGTACTCGACTACATTCTCTTGCGATGCATCCGAGCTCATGGACGACGATATGTCGAGATAGATACAACGTCACCGACACCGTGCATGGTCAAGGCGACGCGGCCATCGCAGTCAAGGGTCGCGGCGAAGTGTGTTTTCGCGGCCCGACGGTCTTTTCCGGGTACTTTAAAGCGCCGGAGAAGACGGCCGAGGTGCTGGACGAAGACGGTTGGCTCCACTCGGGCGACATTGGCGTCTGGACGCTCGATGGCCGACTGAAGCTCGTGGATCGGAAGAAGAACATCTTCAAGCTTGCGCAGGGCGAGTACGTGGCGCCCGAGAAGATCGAGAACGTGCTTCAGACGTCGCCGCTCGTCGCCCAAGCGTTCGTGCACGGCGACAGCCTCCACGCGAGTCTCGTGGCCATCATCGTGCCGGAAGAAACGGCGCTCGCACCGCTCGCCGCGACGCTCAAGGTCTCGGGCGCGTTTCTCGACTGGTGCAACTCGCCAGCGGTGCGATGACCTCTTCTTATTGCCTAAGAATGCAATGTACCGTTGCGGCGTGTAGGTGACCAAGGCAGTGCTCACGGACCTTCAACGCGTCGGCCGCGAGAACGGTCTCCTCGGCTTTGAGCTCGTGCGGGCGATCGCGCTGGACCCGAATCCGTTCACAGTCGAGAACGACCTCTTGACGCCGACGTTCAAGCTCAAGCGGCACGACGCCCAGCGCGCCTTCGCGTCGCGAATCGAAGCGCTCTACGCGTCTGGCGTCTCGGTCGTCGCCGGCCACGCGGCCAAGCTCTGAGTTTGCAAGTGTCGTAATACAAGCAGGACGCGCGATGGAAAGTTGTCCCTTCGTCATCACGATTATTGCGCTGCATCGTTTTCTTGCGACCCGTGAGCAATGGTAAAGACGGGAGCGAAGAATAGTACAGTACGATGAAAAATGCCTAATTGCTGCAGTCTCCTGCTGTGACGACGCTCGACGAGTCAACCGTGCAACGACGGCGTTGCTAGCATCGAGGCTCGCTGTAGCAGACGGACGACGGTCATTGTCCGTACCAGCAAGGTCAAGAATCAAGCCCTTGGTGCCATCTTCATGCAGCACTATCGGTCGAGTGAGTGATTGAGCCAATAGCGTCCGATAGAAAGGCGTCGCAACGCGCCCAACGCAGAGAGCGGACTATTCAAGCACGAATTGAGCACGACACTCTGCGAGTACGCGCTGTACTAGAGCTGTACTTGGAGTACAGTCCATGCGACAAACGACGGTTTCACGCAGACAGATTGCGTAGCACATGTCTCGCAGATGTCATTGCCACATGCCACAAGCGCGGCGCCATGTTCTGCCAACTTGGTCGCCAACGTAAACCATCGCCGTCTACGTCATACCATTACAAGGTGCAGCATCGGCTCAAGAATCCCAGCAGAACGCACCAGGTGGCGCCGTTCAAGAGGCGAAGCAGCTCGCCACTTTGGTTTTGCACCACCTACAACAAAATGTTGTGCGGCCCGACCAACCGCCTCGAAGCCCCGGCCATGTACTCGCACGCCGACCCGGCGCCCGCAAACGGCGACGGCGCCATCTACATGAACCTGGCTTCGCACGAGTCCAAGCTCGACGTCATGACGCTCATCGAGAGCCTCCAAAAGACCGTGGCGGCGCATCCCAATCGCCCGTTCCTCGGCCACCGCCCGATCGATGCCGATGGCGTCGCAGGTCCGTACGTGTGGCAGACGTACGGCGAGGTATGTGCATTTGATCGAGAGTCTTTCCTCTCACACCGTCCTACCGATGTTAGTGTGCGACGCGTATTGAGAACCTCGCCAAGGGCCTCCTCAAGCATGCGATGGTCGACGCCTCGGAGCAAGGCCACAAGTTTCTTGGTATTTACATGAAGAACCGACCCGAGTGGGTGCTCTCGCAGTACGCTGCGTTCTTCGCCGGCGCGATGGTCGTGCCCATCTACGACACGCTGGGTGCTACGTCGACGACGTACATCCTCAACCAAACGTCGGTCGGCACCGTCGTGTGTACGTCGTCTGAGGTCGAGAGCCTCCTCGCCAAGGCGTCTGGCGCACCGACGCTGCGTCACATTGTACTGGCCGACGTATCGACGATCGAGGCGTCGCTGGCAGAGCGCGTGTCCGCGGCGGGTTTGCGGCTCTGGACGCTGACCGACATTGAAGCGGCCGGTGCCTTGGAGACGGAGGCCCCGCCGGCATCCGCCAAGCCCGACGATGTGTGCATGCTCATGTACACTATACTGTGTGCGATGGAATAGGTCTTATAGGCGCTCTTCTAGGTACACGAGTGGCACGACGGGGGATCCCAAGGGTGCGATGATCACGCACGGCAACCTCAACGCCGTGCGCTATGGCATGGTCGAGCAGCTGAGCATGTCGCCGTCCGTGGCCGCCATGCTCCACGGCGAGCCGAGCGTCCTGTCCTTTTTGCCGCTCGCGCACGTCGCCGAACAGACGATGCACGCGGCCTACATTTACCTTGGCGGCGCGATTGGTTTCTCCCAAGGCAACACGCTCAAACTCGTCGAGGACGTCCAGGCGCTGCGCCCGACGTTCTTCCTCGCAGTGCCCCGGCTCCTCAACAAGATGTACGACAAGATCACGGAGGGCGCGGCGGCGGCCGGCGGCATCAAGGCCTGGCTTTTCCAGACCGCGCTCACCACCAAGCTCGCCAACCTCGCGCACGGCGAGACGTCCCACGCGGTCTACGATGCGCTCATCTTTTCCAAGGTATGTACACCCGCCGTTCCTCGAGCAATGAATGCGTGGATTTATTCTACACGCGCGTAGCTCAAGGCCAAGTTGGGTCTGGACCGGTGTGCGCTTCTGGCCACGGGCGCGGCGCCGCTCCCAGCCCACGTGCTCTCGTTCTTCCGCGTCTTCCTCGGCTGCACGTGCACGGAGTTGTACGGCCAGACTGAGACGACGGGTGCGACCAACTTGACCGACTACCGCGACCTCGACGCTGGCACGGTCGGCTCGCCCATGGTGACTGCCGACGTCAAGCTCGTCTCCGTGCCCGACATGGGGTATGAGGGACCATTGGCTCCAAGCAACAACCAGAAAACTCACACGCTACTAGGTACAACGTCACCGACACCGTGCATGGTGAAGGCGACGCGGCCATCGCAGTCAAGGGTCGCGGCGAAGTGTGCATTCGCGGCCCGACGGTCTTTCCGGGGTATTTCAACGCGCCGGAGAAGACGGCCGAGATGATTGACGAAGACGGTTGGCTGCACTCGGGCGACATTGGCGTCTGGACGATCGACGGGCGATTGAAGCTCGTGGATCGGAAGAAGAACATCTTCAAGCTCTCCCAAGGCGAGTACGTGGCCCCCGAGAAGATCGAGAACGTGATTCAAGCCTCGCCGTACATTGGCCAAGCGTTCGTGCACGGCGACAGCCTCCACGCGAGTCTCGTGGCCATCATCGTGCCGGAAGAGACGGCTCTCGCGCCCCTGGCTGCGTCGCTCAAGGTCGCTGGCTCGTTCGCCGACTGGTGCAAGTCGCCGGCCATTGTGGACGCGATCCTAGCCGACATCAAGCGCGTGAGCAAGGCGCAGAGCTTGCTCGGTTTCGAGATTGTCCGCGCCGTTCATCTCGAGACGGAGCCGTTCTCGGTCGAGAACGATTTGATGACGCCGACGTTCAAGCTCAAGCGGCACGAGGCCAAGGTCGTGTACAGCGCGCGGCTCGACGCGCTCTACACGCTGAGCGGCGACGTGGTCGCGGGCAAGCAGGTCATGCAGCACTAACTACCGCCGTTCCAAACACGTTGTGCACTGCTGCCCTTAGCGCGCAATCGAGCAAGAGAAAGCACTGTACAAAAGGAGATGATAGGTTAGATAAGGTTAATAGTAGTTGAGCGCCACGTGCTGCTGGTCAAAGCCTTCAAAGAACGAGTGGGCGTTGGGCGAATCAAAAATCGACACCATGTCCTGGATCGTCGCGAGCTCGTCCGAGCTGCAGAGTTCGAGCATCGCCATGTCGCTGCAGAACGCGTCTTCCACGTCCGAGTCGATGCTCATGCGCTCGTCGTCCGACGAGACCACACTCATGTCGTCGTCGTCCTTGGGCGAGGCTGTGGTCGGCGCGGCCATCGCGACAAGCTGGTTGATCTGGCCCGTGAGGTTCGAGATGACCTGTGTGAGGCTGTCGTACTGCGTCTGAAGGCCCGCAATTTGCGTCTTGAGCGACTGGATTTCCTTGGGGTGCTCGGGCTCAGGCGTCGACTTGCGGCGAATCTCCTGCATCAAGTGCGGCGCCTCGCGCGAAAACTTGTCGTGATGGAACTCCCACCACTCGGCGTCTTCGGCCGCGTCGCCCTTGCACTTGCGGAAGCCATAGAAGTTGAGCTGCCGCACGAACGAGAGAAAGTTGTTGTGCTTGAAGTACTTGGGCAGCACCGAGGTCGCAAACTGGTGCGGCACGTGGATGCGGATCGTCGTGCCATCTTGGTTCCATGTGGCCACGTCGGACGGCGCCTCCTGGAACATGCGGAAGGTCTTCTGCAGGAAGATCGGCGCCGTCTTGACGGTCGGCTTGAGAGACGCCATGACTCGGGTATGCAGTACGCGCGCGGCCCAAGAATGAAGTCGGCCGCCACGCCGCAACCACTGCTCGGCCTGTCTCGCCAAAATTTGTTTTAAACACCTGTATATTACCCACATCGTGGTGTTTTCAACCTACCTTGAAGTGCGTCGCACGCGGAACTGTGGCGCCAGGCGCTGTAATCGATGGCATGACACGCTACAGTAGCGAGTAAGAGCGCCGTCCTGCTTAAGATCTAAAGAGTCTTTGTATATCGTCGTTCTGCAAGGCCAGGAGGACAGCTTGGAAGCCGCCAGGGAAGCAACGGGATTCTTGCGAGCATAAACGGAATGTTTACGGCAACATGTCACGCCAGCCAGACACTTATGATCATGACGCAGCAGTGTCGGCGAAGCCCTTTCCCAGTGAAGGTCACGGACGTCTCTCGCACCACTGCGAGGTATAGCACTGACGATGCATCCATGTGAATACATTTGAACATACCGATAGTTATACTTGACCAACGAGTCGAGACAGCGCGAGGTGTCGGAAGTCCGACGACGTTCGTGCTGACGTGGATAACGATACTGACCACCTGCCACAGCGCAAGTGCAACATCGCCTGTACAAAACACACCGAGCTGTATTAAACACCACGGTGGGTGATTCATTTGTTGCCGTTTTCAGATTGGTTAAAAAGGTAGAAAATCCACCAATGGCAGCATCGGTGGTACCCGAGCATCTGCGACGACCTGCATTCCGCTGGAAAGACAGCGGAATGATGGGCTCCAGGATGTCACGCGAATACCGAGGAGCAAGTCGCTTGGTCCAACGAATGGTTACCAATGCGCCACGAAGCGAAGCTTCCGCAGCATAAGAAGCGCGTAATCGACATCGCGGATGGTGCTGGGACGATGTTGGCAAGCGCGAGGAGCACAAGAAACGCATCTCGCCCTTATTTTGCATGTCGTTATGGAGGAAAGAGCATGTGTCGAGCATTGGAACGTGTCGCAATCTTCGTTGCGCCGCGACCACAAGAATTCGTCGGTCGTTGCATCCTCCGCTTGCACTCGACTGTACAATGCTAGGCTTTCCAGGCCTGCTTTTGAAGTCTATACGCGCGCATGGCTTGAACAGCTACCTATGCAATCTACTTTTGCTACATTCTTCCCCCACGGCTTCTGCAGCCGCAGTCGGCTTGCCACCGCTCTCACGTCGTCGCTCGTGACACTGAGTATCGGCAGTGGGATCGCGCACGTCACCGGCCATCTGCGTCTCGACCATTGCGTAGATGCCCTTCATGCACGTTTAGACCGTCGCACAGCAATCTGATCTACTAGCCTGCACTTGCACGTGCGCGGGATGAGCGAGATCTGCCTGGCCATGAGGATGGCGGCAGTACCTCCGGCGGCGATGGCAGCGATGGCAACGTGCCCATCATGACAATCGTCAATGGCCGTCCTGTGGGGCGTGCGCTGCTACATGTGATGTCGTTGCTCATCGAGCTTCTGCAGAAGAGCATGCTGCATAAGAGAATGCTCTGGTCGAGCGGGGTGGATGTCCCGGACTAGTACCAGTGTGGCAGCGAGGTGTCATCCTGGCGCTGGCTCCGTCCTTGGCTACCGGTATTAGGTAGGGTAGACCGTGTGCGAGATCTATTGAGACGCTTCCTAAGCACTCGTTTGGAGCGGCGCGTGGGCCATAGACCCGCCAGTGCAAGCGGGCGGCGTGCTGTAGGATGTGCTGCCGTGGCCGCCAGGTCAAGTGGCAATTGACTAAAATCACCGCTCCTACGAAGATAAACAGTGTACTACGCCACATATTTAGTGTAATATATATGATATATAGTGTAAATGACCGTCCAGTCCTCCACCAGCTTTAAGCTCACGAACAACCGCTAGCACAATCGTCTTCGTCCTTCCTACCTGTACATAGATACTCGGCATTATGGCATTATGTAGATGGTGTTTCCGACGCTAACAGCAGCTCATTCTTGCGATAATGGATCATTGTTTTTCGCCGGGCGAATCCAACACCAAATTACTATTGATATTTGCACCTTGTCAGAGAGCGCGTACGGCTACAACTCTGGCTGCCACAGTTGGTTATGTGCGTTGACTCAGACATGACCCTACGCTTGGAACGTGATTGCTGCTTGGGCACTCACATCAACGCCGTACTGTCTGGCACCACATTCGACGATCTTTGACGCAACATTTCGAGTGCAATTCGGTCGTCACCGCGGGAGGCGAGGACATGATCTCTCTCATTATGTGTTGGCAAGTATATTTCATCGGTCGAGAGTCGCTGCAGCGTTCGATGCGGTGCCACACGAAGGACCGCCGATTTAATACAGTATTTGGCATAACACACTATTAGCGAGTGATGTAAAATTGAGGTGATGGAGCGATTTGATTCGTGGTCGAAATTGCTTTTTGCCAATCGCTGACGACCTAGGTCCTGCCAGAGCCGCGCGCGCAGTGGGCCGAGATTGCGCGCACGACGTTTGAAAACAGAATCGCCCAGATCTGACAGAGATATAGAAGGCACTATGGAGAGCAGAGCGTGCTATGCCACGTTGCCGTTGATAGCCTACAACGCGCCATATTCTCAATCAAAGATATATAGCAATTCTACTTAATATATTTAGAGAATTAAATAACAATTATCGCCCCTGTTGCTGCGCCATAGCGCGATCGTTGTTAGCGACGTAGTACACAACTTGCTTATCATCTACCCGAACTACATATTGTCACTGGCAGTAAAAGTACCAGTGAATTGACATTGAACCACGGTTGGCATCACGGCGTAGGGATTAGGGTCATGTACCTTAGTCCTACTAGATGCTCCTCGACTGGGTCGAAAAGTGCGGCGTGACAGTGAGTTGGGGACGTCCGTTTATCGTGTCGACAGCGTCGAGACCGTACATGCCTTCGATGCAGTCGTCTTGCACTTCGAGGAAGAGCGATTGCAGCGCCATCGTCGCCGTCGCGTCGTCGGACGTCGCAGAGATGACAACTGTGTGCATCTCGGCCATCATCGCGTGCATCTCGACAAGGATCGATTGTTTGTACTGTTCATCGAAAAACACTCGACTCGGGTCCACTGTCATAGCGTGCTTGGGGAGAACGACGACCGGAGGTGTCACGGCTGAAAGCACGGGCGCGACGTGCGGTTTGGCGGGCTGCAGCTGATTCCAGAACGAGTCGACAACGCTGGCGCGGCGTGTCGGAGGCGTTGGTGGCGCGGCACTCTTGACCACGACCGACGCGCTGCAGATGGTAGCTTGCGACGATTGACATGCCAAGTCTTGCGGGGTAGAGCACGGGATTGTCTCGGGGGTCACGAGCCGTTCGAGTTCGACGAGTGGGGCCGGATTGGCTGAAGTGGTAAGCGGCACATGCGTCTCAAAGGCATGGACATGCTCCGTCTCGTCTTGAACGACATGTGTTTCGGACAGGGCTAGAGGCGTCGGCTCTTGATTGTTCGGTGCTTCGTCATCCTCGACATCCTTGAGCGTAGAGCGATCAGTGTCCGGGGTATTCAACGGGGCGAGCTCTGGCACCATGGCTTCCATGGACGCCAAGAGCTGTTGCAAGGACGCAGATGACGCCGGCGTCGACAAGGGCATCGATGGCACGAGTAATTGATTGTACCGATCATGACATTTCGTGCAAACAAGCACGCGGTTGTAGAGCTGGTTGCGGACGCGGCGCGACCACGACTGCGCATACACCTCGTATGCAGCGGCCACATTTGGCAGGTCCGTATTTTGTGCCAAGAAATTGCCTCGTAAAATATCCTGCACACGTTGCTATCTTCTTCCCGCAATGTATGTCGTGCAGCAGTACCTTGTAGTACAGCAGCGGCTGCAAACCCATCTCGCGGGGCGTCGCACTCTCTTTGCAAAACTGGCCCGCGCACTTGGGTGCCATTGCGAGTGGCTTCTCAGGCGCCTCGACTTCGGCGGCGCGGAAGGCCTTGACTTGCAAGCACCACCATCGACCTTCTTCGTCCTGTGCGAAGTCGGCCACGAGCGCCGTGAATCGAATCTACGAACACCACTCCTCACCAAGCCGTTCTCACAACCACGAGACGCACCGAGGTGGCTGCCGCAACATTGGTTGCAAGGACTTGGGTCTGCGCGCGCGGCGCTGCCCATGACGTCCTATGCTCCATCTCAAGCGTAGTATGGAAAGGTCGTTGACGCCTTACGGTGCGGTGGCCTTGTCGATGCGACAAGCTTGCGCATCTGTCGTGTCGACAACCGGGTGCGCCGTGTCGGTGAAGACCCAGACGACGCTCTGCTTGGGTCGAGTGGGCACGTAGGCACAACGGACGAGCAGTGACGACTGGACACGGTTGGATTTGGCCGCAATAAACTCTTGGAGGGCAACGACACCAGAGGTGGCCAGGAGGAGGCCGCGGAGTGCGCGGGCAACGTCCTGTCGCGTCTCGAGCAGGTCCAGCGTGTTTGTACGTGTCGTCGGGTCGTACGTCTTGACGACGGCGCAAATGGCTTGCTGCCGGCGCGTGAAGAGCCGAAGGAGAAGCGGTGTGTCGGCCTCAACGTTGGCTTTGGAAGTGTACTCACGCGTGCAGATGCGCTGGTCCGCATTCGAGTACACAAGTCGGTACATGCCGCTGTCTTCGCGCACCAAGGTCGCAGGCAAGAGAATCGCGTCCGTGTTCGCAAGCGTTCCCAGCGCCTTTGTGAAAAGGAGCCCTGGTCCGAGTCCAAGGCGACTCGGATAGCTGAACGAGCGGTAGCTGGCTTCGGCCACAAGCGCCGCCAGCCGCTGGCGCTGGATCGTCTCGATCGACGGCAAGGATGTGACGGGGCGCTTGGGCTTGGCGCTACGCGTACTACTACGTGTCGACGATCAAGGACAGATACGTGGCCGTACCTCAGCTGCTTCTCTGCGTGGACTATATCTGCTGCTGCTGGCGCCGATGCGCTGTGACCCAAAAGTGGCCGCAACAGCCGCGCGGTGCGCTTGCGGGCCTTGCGGCAGTGTGGGCTTCTACGACCAAACCCATGGGTAGCCGTTTGCGTCGTGAAGGAGCGAGTGCGTACGAAGCAAACGTCGTCGTCAGCCACGAGTCGAACTTTTCGTGAAGCGGGTTCAGTGGCGGCGGTGACTCGAGCCGGACGTCCTTACCTCGGGCATCTGGGAGCATGCTTTTTGGTCGGCGCTATTTTTACGCAATGTTAAAAATTGGCCTTCCACGGCACATGCATCTCGCACTCCGTATTGATCGTCAAGGAAAGACAGTCTGCATTAGACAGCAAGAAGCAACTTTCGGCATCCATTAAAAGGCATTAGCATTCCTCACGGAAGGCCCGGATCAGTGCATTTACAGCTCACAAATTGAGTTCCATCGCTATTACATCTTAAAATACAACAATTTGGTTTGCGCGAAACGCTGCGTTGGCGGAGATGGGCGGCGTTGACAGGCGTCGGCCGTCGACCGAGACGGGCCTGACGCCCGTTTTACCGCAATTGACATCGACGCGGCGCGTCACCGTAAAGCAAACGTCCCGGAAAAGCCTCGCCACCGACCACCGACGGCGCATTGGGTCGGTCAAGCCCGAGCCTCGCAACGAAGCACTGGAAGCACTCAAGGTCGCGCTCACCGACGACCCCAGCACCCGCAGTGATGCCGATATCCTTTTTCATCGCGACCACGTTCGCTTCTACACCGACAAGTTTGATGCGTCCTTGACACGACTCGCCACCGCTGTCGCTCATCTACGAGTGGATGAGGAAGCATTGCACCAACGTACTTTGTCATGGATGTGGTAACTTGCTTGTGTATCTTCGTTTCGATAGACCAACATCTTTGCGTCGTCGCACGAGTACGTGTGTCGCGAGATCTGTCGCCACATGCGCCTCATCAAACTGCCAAGTCGGTACCAGTACTGCGCGATCGCTCGTCCCACGTCGCGCTCTTTAGGCCTCGCGATGCTCATTCGGCAAGGCGACACAGGCGATCGGTGCTACATCATCATCGACGGGACCCTTGATGTGTTTATTCGCCAAGATGCGGCGTTCCAGGGCTTCAGCGACCAAGCGGAGACCATGTACCGTCTGGTACAAGCGCTTAGGCAAAGTCAACGCTTGATGTCAACGCCAGGCGCCGGCCAGCCTGAATGTGGGGAAATTCATGACGACGCTGACGCCCGGTTCGATTGTCGGCGAAGTTGTTCTGAGTACGTCATGTCTGAATCCAATCCACGCTCATGGACGTAGCGAATCCGAGTGTACGCCGAACGGCGACCGTCGTCGTCTCTAAGGACACGTCCGAGTGCTGCGTCATTTTCCTCGGGCGTGCCGACTACATCCGCTTGGTCCGGAACGTCTCGATGGAAGCGTCGCATTTTGTACAAGCCGAGATCCTCGACTTTATGGTGCTCTTTCAAAAGTGGCCCAAACCAGGTATTCACAGAACCCATACATGACGTGGCACAACGGGGTCGCGTAGAAAAGATGAAGTACATCGCCCAGATGAAGTCGGTGCACTTTCGCGCCAACGTACGTACACTAAGACATCGCCGTGCTGCAAAATCCAGGGTATGCATTTCTAGGACTATCTGTACAAGGCCGGCACGACGACCAAGGTCATGTTCATTATCGTGCTCGGCGAAGCCATTGAGAAGTACAACTTGAACGCGGTCCACACGTCGATCGGCCAAGTCGCGACCAAGTCAGAGGTCAAAATCAACATTGAGTTGCTTTTGCTTGGCCCGGGCGAAATTGCCAGTAAGCGCACGCCCGCAATTTGGTCCAAGATCTCATTGCGTAGATGAGTTTGCGTTTTTCAAGCCGTCCATGGTCGGTCACTTTGACATCAAGGCGGGTAGGTCTCTGTCGCAGCGACCAACCCAACTAAGCGATCCTAGTTACGGATGTGCATGCCCTGGCGATCAACGTGCGACAGCAAAGGTTTGTCGGAAAAATGACGCGCTTTTACCGTAGAAACATCTGTACGAAGCCATGACGACGCCGTCCGAGTACGCGCAGGACCTGCAAGCCAAGCTCGCGTCCATGTCGAGCGACCGCGATGATTGGCGCAAAGAGCGCATCGAGTTTGGCTCGCGCTACCCGGATGCCCACATCGCCATGTACGACAAAACCCATGGACACTTGATACATTGATCGTTCTCGTAGGACATGGAGCCTCATGCGCATGGGCAACCTTCGGTGCAGTCGCTGCGGCCGGCGCGGCCACCTGCCCAGCGATCTCGGGCGGTGCCACCACTCGAAGAAAATCGACTGGCCGTCCGTGCAGCAGCGGCTCGAGAAACAACTCAACCCACCGGCGCCGCAGCGCACGACGCGTGCGTCCGATAGTCCGCGTGTCAAACGGTGCAAAATTTTCGTGTTACGAAAGTGGGTTGATATTTGTGTGTGTTTAGCCGATCCATCCACTCGAATATCGTGGCCCGGGACCTGCACCGCGACACAATGGACGAGAGCAGCCTCCCGACCGCGAAAGAGCAGCTCGCCGCGTCGTGGCGCTTGCGCCTGTTGGTGTTTCCAAAGCAACCCGAGTCAACGACGCACGAGAAGCCGTCGACCACGCCGCATACAACATAAAATACAGATAGTAGAGCAACCGAAACACGTTTGGATCGCCTTAGGTTTCATCGTGATGCCGCGCCTCGTACTGCCCATCGAGCGCCGCAATCGCATCGCGGTCTTGCGCATCGAGGAGCGAAGCAGCATAGTGCGGCTCGAGCAGGCGCGCGTTCATCTGCACGTGTTCCAACGACGTGCTGCGTGGGATCATGGCCACGCCACACTGCAGAAAGTAGCTCAGCACGACGGAGGCGACGGAGGCTGCGTGCTTGGCAGCGATCGCTTGGAGTACCGGCGACGACCAGACTGGGTTGGTTGGCCACTGCGTGCCCAAGGACGAGTAGCCGACGACGACGCCGCCGCGGCGCGTAACAAAGGCGCGCTCATCGTTGGCTTGATGGAACGGGTCGACCCACATTTGAACCACGTGCGGAGGCGTCGTCGCCATGGCCCACAGATCTTGGAGCTGCGTTGCGTCAAAGTTGGAGGCACCGAGCGCGCGGATCTTGCCATTTTCGTAGAGCCGCTCGAGTTCCCGCCACGCGAGTCGCCAGTCGCCGGTGGGCTGGCCGCGGCAGTCAGGGATCCAGTCGCCGCACGCGGGGTAGTGCAAATAGACCAAGTCGATCGCATCAACCTCCCAACTGAGGTGCCACGAGACAAACATCTCGCGCACGGCCGCCTCGACGCGACCGAGGAACGCGGGGTGCACCTTGGACGCAATGAAAAAGTCGCGTCGTGACAGCGACGGCGTCGACTGCACAATCGCTGCTAGCGCATTCCCAGCCGCCACGTCATCGTACCATTCCTTGGCCTGCGCGCCGTCGAACGCGCGAAACCCCGCAGCGACATGGAGCTGCACAGCGCTCGTCGTCGCGTCGCCCTTCATGCCTGCGAGCCCTTGGCCGACCCATGGCATCCACACGCCGTTGGAGAGGCGAACGTTGCGACCGTCCGTGGCACATGCTAGGTCACCCACAGCGCACGTCGAGGTGCCAGCAATCCGCGAAGAAGCCAGCGCGAGCGCGAGCAGCCAGAGCATATTCTACAGGGTCAGAGCCAAGTCTTCACGTGGCGAGGCCACATATCCGGACTGGAGTTATTAACCGGATGATTGGCAGTTACCCGTCCAAGAGAGCAAGCGTCCATCAACCACGGCTCCGAAGGGCACTCGTAGCGTGCGCGAGGCTACCTCACGACGTCGTCTGGTTCGTCCAGAAAGACTGCATGTCGACCAAGCACTACCGTTGTAGTGCGACGCTTGAGAACTTGGCATCTTCGCTCAACCTGGTCTCGGGAAAGTTTGGTCTCTGCGGGACCATTGCGCAGTAGACTACTGCTTCACGTGGTGCTGTATTTGATATCGCCAGGATCATGTGACGAAGCAGAGAGCTCTGCTGGGTTGGCTGGAGCGCGCGACTGCACCATATCGTTTTCTACTCGACGACTTTTGGAGCTTGGCGCCAGACACGTACCGCGAAGTCTTGGGTAGATTGACATCAAGCTCTTATTTCCTAGCCTGATGAGGATGATGATGCTACGCGTCATGCGTGGCACGCGCTGAAAAGGACGCGCCAACTCTTGCGGTGCCAAACGGCTTGCTTGTGCCGATTTACCGCAATTTGCCCCGTATCCGGATGATCGCCCATTGAGGCTAAACACACCCAGTTTTTTATGCTGGAAATCACGCAAAGTCGAAATACAGCACGCAAAGTGGCGTTGCATTAGCCGTCACTTCTAGCCTCGGTGGTCGGATTGCGATCTTGCAGTTGGTAGCAGCTGGTTGTTGACGCAGCAAGACCGCAGCCAAGAAGATCGACCCATTCGACGATTGCCAGCATGCTGTTCAGCGCGCTCTCGTCTTTGCTCTCGAAGGCCTCGAAGCTCGACGTGCTTGGGCGCCTCGCGCTCTTCTACCTCGTGCTCAAGCTCGTCAAGGCGCTCAAGGCCATGTCCAGCTCCAAGCACCTCCTGCCCCGCACCGAGCTCGCGCTCGGGGCCGTCGACCCGCATCCCCACGCGCATGCGTACTACCGCCACTTCCAGCCATCGGCCGACCGCAACCTCTGGCTCTTCTCCACGTGGTGGCTACCCGCCGCCAACGTCAAGGCGTGGAAGGGCGTCATTTTCATCGTCCACGGCTTCAATGAGCACATTAGCCGCTACGAGCACGTCGGGCGCTTCCTCTCGGCGCACGGGTACGCAGTCTTTGGCATGGACCACCAGGTAGGACTCTACCATCCGGGTGCTTGCACGTGTACTGACGCCTGACCTAGGGCCATGGACTGAGCGAGGGCGACCCGCTGTACATCGAGCGCTTCACCGACTACATTGCCGACTACCGCCAGTTTATGCACCACGTACTGGGCCTTGCAAGCGACTCGCCGTACGCGCTGCAGACCAACATGCACATTCCCAAGGGTACCGAGCTCAAGACCTTGCCGCGCTTCGTCCTCGGCCACTCGATGGGTGTTGTCATTACCGTGCTCACGGTGCAAAAGTCCCCCGAGATCGACTGGACTGGCGTGATCCTCTCGGCCGGCGCCATGAAGGTCGACCCGGTCACTGCGCCGTGGCATCTGCGCTTCCTGGCCCGCGTGCTCTCGAGCGTCCTGCCCAAGCTCCGCCTCCCGGACGACGGCTTCCCGCACCTCTCCAACAATCCGCTCGTCTACCAGCGCGCGCGGCGGGACCCGCTCTGTCACAAAACTGGATTCACGCCGCGTTGGGCGCACGAGTTCTTTACGTCTTGCGACCTCGCGCTCGCGGAGGCGCCCAAGTTCAAGCACGACGTGCTGCTCTTCCATGGCGACAAGGACGTGATTGCGTTCCCGTCGGGGTCCCAGGAGTTTTACGAGAAGGCAGCGAGTACCAACAAGACGCTGCATATGCTCGAGGGCCGCCAGCACGAGCTTTTGAACGAAGACGACCACGAAGACATGCTCCGGACGATCCTCGATTGGTGTGCGAAGCAAGCGCGCGAGAAGGCGGCGACAGGGCTCGTCGACGTGGCGGCATAAGATAGGGGCAGACAGATCCATATCGCAAAATCTAGTACATGTACGAGTGGGCCTTGGCCGCGTGTTGGAGCGTCGCCTCGAGACGTGTGAGCTGCGCATCGACACAGCTATCATGTCGCTTCATCCACTCGGGTGACCTAAGCATTGGTGAATGGTGACGATAGAGGTCGGGACGGTATGGAAAACCCAGAGATGTGATCGCTGAGGCAGTCGCGGCGGGGCAGGCTTGCAGGCAGCGATGGTCCATACAAAATAGTCTAGAGGTTGGATGGAATGCTATGCACATGGCTCATGCTACGGAGGAAGATGCAATACCTCGGTCTTGAAGCTAACGACGTTGAAGAGGGCGGGACCGCCGTCTTCCTCGAGGACCACACATGCGATACCGAGGGGACGAATGCTACATGCGACGTCAACGCCATATTCATCGCTTGCATCTCGTGCCCATAGACGGAGACGGAGGTTTGCGCTTGTCGCTTGAACGTAAGTCTAGGAAGGGTCAACGACAAGCCAGGACAAGACGCCGCAGCGCACCGTAGGAAGCACGCGGGCAAGTACCCGAGCTTGATGGTGGATTCGCGGTGCAGCGGCAGTCGAACGTCCTTCTTCACTAGAGCAACGAGGAGTCGTCGACTAGTCGCATGAAGTAGTGATGTACCGGTGATGTAGTCGTCGCGCTTGTTCTCGACGGCGACGCTGACGTCGACAGCATGGGCGTTCTAGCTCACAATCCCGCTCCATGGCGCCGCAAGCAGGAAGCCCACCTTGTTGAGGATACGTACTTCGGAGAGGAGCGTCTTGCTTTGCCTAGACGGGGCTATGAGCAACGCAAGGTCGTCGTCTCGTACAGGGCGAGGACGATGGTCTCGGTCGGCTTGGCAAACGACTCCCAGTACGTTGCCCGCGAGTAGTCGAGGACGCTCTCGACCGGATGCTGGAAGGACGAGCCTGATGCTACACATAGACCATGTCTACCTTCCTCTCGGCCTCCATGATCGCGTACCCTTCCCGATCGAGTATGGCGCTGGCAGCTCCATCTCGAACCCCAAATACGGTCACGTTCAAAACGCTTGTCACCGCCATCGTCGTATCCGGATAGCATTCTTGTCGGCCATATTAAATGCAGCCGATATCTGGAAAACAGTATGTGTGGCCGTTTATTAAATAAACGGACCGGAGCGTTCCAGGTTTTTATCCGGAAGATCGGGCTTCCCGCCGGCGAAACGTGGCAGCGTTCTAGCAGCTTGTCGCTGGCAGTCGCAGAGCGACGAAGGACATAGCCCTCTACTACTACAGTGTAGTGAGACCATACTGCTGCGTGCATGGGGTGGATTGAGCATATCGACTTCACGATCACCCGCTGGGTTTTCGATTTCTCTCCAAAATGCATGACTGGATTGGATTCTTGGATACTTGGATACGTATTATCCTACGACGCAGATACCTCAAGCTCGTTCTATCTATTTATTACGCTGACTCTTAGTGTGGTCATGGTATTTATCCCAGTGCCTCGGCGACGTCCCAGCACCGTGCTGGCCGAGGCTTTGGTGGCTCCTGCGTTTGAGACGCGCGCACTTAAAAGACCCGGAGTAAACCCGGACCCGGTTCGTTTCAGCATTTCAACGTGGCATCGACATGTCCCGAGCGGCCGAGGCCATGGCGGACGCTGCGCCCGACGACGATGGCGATGCGACTGCTACCTCGCCCAAGCACATGGAGGCAGACGAAGCGAATCTGCCAAGCGCCGTCTCGATCCATGAGGCCATCCGCATGGTCGGCTACGGACGCTTCCAGCGGACGCTCCTCGTTGTCTCGGGGCTCATGTTCATGGCCGTACACCATCTTGGCCGCTGGCGTTGGCCTCATCCTGCCGACACTAGGATGCAACCGAAGTCATGCTGCTCTCGTTCCTTCAGGTGCTCGTGAAGGACGAGTGGCACCTGAGCTACGCACAGGAAGCCGGCATCACGGCCGCGGTCTTTGCCGGCGAGCTGCCCGGCGCGCTCTTTTGGGGCTACTTTGGCGACAAGTACGGGCGGCGCATGGGCTTTCTCTGGTCCGCGCTCTGCATTGCGATCTTTGGCGTGCTCTCCGCCTTTGCGACCAACGTCTACTACCTCATGGCGTGTCGGGCCGTCGTCGGCTTTGGCGTCGCCGGTAAGAGACCATCCACGTCGTGTCCAATACATTGATATCGACTAGGATCACTTGTTCCGTTCGACCTCATGGCCGAGTTTCTGCCCGACAAGGAGCGCGGGCGCATCCTCCTCTACTTCCAGCTCTTCTGGACGGTTGGCATTGGCTTCGTTGCCGTCTTGGCGTGGTCGGTCCTCGACCGCCTCGGATGGCGCTGGCTCACAGGTATTAGATTTGCGTGTACATGCGCAGCTAACGCACGTAGGTCTCTGCGCCACGCCACTCGTGCTCGTGCTGGCGTCGTTTCCGTGGATGCCAGAGTCGCCCAAGTGGCTCTGCGATCAGATGCGCTTTGACGAAGCCCTCGTCGTGCTGCGCATGACGGCGTGCCTCAACGGCACCGAGCTCGATCCGACTCTGAGCTTGCGTCCGATGGAGTCGACCAAGTACAACAAGCACCGAGGCGTCCAAGAGCTTTGCGGGCCCGTACTGCGGCGCACGTCGAGCATGCTCTTCCTCATTTGGTTTGGCTTTGGGCTTGCCTACTATGGGTACGACCTGCTCTTTCCTCTTTTTGTGCAATTTGTGAGCCTAGTATCATCCTGCTCTTCCCGCGCCTGTTTGCGCAGTCGTCGTCGTCGTCACGCGAGACGTTCAACTACATGAGCATCTTCCTCGCTGCACTCGCTGAAGTCCTTGGTGTTCTCGGCACGATCGCTGTCGTTGACCGCGTATTATTTCCTGCTTGCGTGCAATTCGATATTGAAGCTCCATTAGTGGGGTCGTCGAGGCACTCAGATCGTATTGTATGGTGTGGCTGCAGCCGCCGTGCTCGCATCGGCCGCCGAGTGGAGCTTATGGCTCTTGACGTTGCTTGCGATGCTTGCACGGGCAGCGATCATGGGTGCGTCCAGCACGACGTGGCTGGCGACGCCCGAGGCGTTTCCAACGCATGGTACCCCACGGCATCGTACGAGGCAGCGACTCCTACTTATATGCCTAGTGCGTACCACGGGCCATGGTATTGCCAGTGGCATGGCTCGCATCGGAGGGTTCCTCACACCCTTCTTGGCAGACGCGCCCGGCATGACCGTCGAGTACATCTGCGGCATCTACGGCATCGTGCTTGCCTTCACGGCGCTTGCTGCGTGCGGCCTCCCGTCTGATCCGAGAGATCCCGATGACATTGCGCTCTCGACCGAGCTCCAAGGACTCACGACGACGGAAGAAAGCAGTTCCACCAACATCACTTCGAGCAGTGACGATTTGTGATCGCGTAAACATGTCTTCTCACATTAAATTCGGAACCACGAACTCGTCTTTTGGTTGTTGGATGCGCTGCTGATCGGTGGCATGGCCAAGGACGGTCGCCGCGGCGTCGCGGGATCGGCGCCTTGGTTGGGCCGTGGTAGGCTGCTCGACTGCTTGCGGAGCACACTGGGGGGCTTGGGCACGCGAAGTGAGCCGTCTATTGCGGACTTTTCGAGCAGCGCTTCGACACGCAGCGCTAAACACCGGTTCTCGTTCTTCATGACCATGTACTTTTCAAACGTTGTCGACGCTTCCACGTCCTGCACGTAGGCCTCGAGCTACGACATGTCTCATAATTTGCTATCATCGCGAACAAGAGTAGAGTACCGAAGAGACTTTGGTAGCGAGGTCGGCGCTGTGCGCGTTGGCCGTCGCAAGGTCTCGCTGCAGCTGCGTCACCAGACACTGAGTGGTTTCTGCGCGGACCTGTCCATCAGGCAACACGGTACGGTGACAGACAGCGACGCGGCACAATACCTTGCAATCTTGAAGGTCCCCATCGAGACGGTTCCGCTGGTGGGTCATCTCGAGTAGCTGCTTGGTAGCGTGCGCGAGTTCTACGCCAAATGGGATGCGAAACGCGCCGAGACAGAGTGCGCTTACGCGTCTCGGTCTCAATGCAGAGATTGCATCGAGCTACCGCACTGGGCTACGCAGGCTAGGTTCAGACATGCCCAGTGGCGTGGCAAAGGACAACGTCAGCGACAGGAGGTTGCGCGCGCAGCTCTTGCATCTGCGCTTCAAGAGTGGCGAGAAGACCTGCCAGCTTTTCGTTCTCCTGCGTGATGGCCACCTGCGCCGACAGCGGTCAGAGGTGGTGGGATGGATAGAAACACCGTACCAGATCGTGCTTGGTCGCGGCAAGCTGGTAGCACACTTGGTCGTTGACGTTGCGCAAGGACGACGTACTCGCCTCGCTCGCTTCGAGCCGGCTTTGGAGGTCGAGTTTGCTTGCTTCCAGCACCTACGTAGTTTAAAAACGCGACAGCTCAAGACGCTCATCGCACCTCTCGTCGGGCTTCCAGGCTCGTGATGCATTCTTCTAGTCGCAATATGGTCGCCTTCGAATCCTGCGCAACCCAGCACATGACAATAATGTCCATAATGGGTATCCAGGGCATACGGCTAGCTGTGCAGTTAACGCTGCAATGTCCGCGTCGCATGCTGCCACGGATGCGGCGTGGGTCTCTTGCAGCGCAACGAAGTGGGCGCTTACGTCGGCAGCGTCGACCTGCGCTTTGGCCAACCGCTTGGCCAAGCGGTCTCGGTCCTCTGACGTTGTGGTGGCGTCTTGCATGCTTGAGACGACCATGCGCTCCAGCTCCGCGTTGCGGGCCGCGACGAACGTCAGCTGACTCTCGGTGTTGATGTAGCCTTTCTCGCGGGCCTAAAACCACCACCAAAGTACATCCAGGATGCAGCACGTACAAATCGACGCAGTACCTCCATGGCCGCGACCTTGATGCGCAGCGCGAGCACCTCGTCTTCGAGGTCATGCAGCGTCTCGAGGTTGCGGAGGTGCAAGAGCCGGCTGCGTATGTCATCGTCGCCCATCGCCGCGACAAAGTCGGTTTCGTTACCAGTTACTTTCGCGGTTGACCGGTATCCACGCCCTGCACGCAAGCCAAATCAGCAACCGCGAGCAGGCATCACGCTTAGCACTGCATCGACATACGATATAATGTAGCAGTGTCTCTACGGTGTACAAGAGGTCGGGACTTGCAGGACGCGCCAGACTCGAAGTTGCAGCCGCCTTTTTTTACTATTTATAACCGACACCGCCGCCCGCGTAGCCAGGGCGGTTTTGCAATGCTGCTGCGCCACCTCGGACCGGGGCCGACGTCGCCGGTCGTGCCCATGTCCGCAGTCTCCCCCGTATCGACGCGCGGACTTGTCTTTGTTCAAGCCTCGACACGCTTTCACCGCCTCCTCAAGGCCGCCGCGTACGTCTTTGGCCTCGGCGTCGTCTGTCTTGTCTGCCTTGACGCAATCGCCAACAACTGGGCCATCAACGACTTTATCGGGAATGGGTACCAGTTTTTAACGCCCATCCCGGATCCCAACGACCTCCTCTCGCAGTACAGCTTTGCGAACGAAGCGAGTCTCACCGACCTCTCGAATGTCGCCCAGCGCATGAACAACTACACGATGAGCAACCTCGTGCTGCCCCACAACCCAAACATCTACGTGCTCTCGGCCGGCACGTACATTGTCAACTCGAAAATGAACCTCTGTGCGATCTTCCAGCGCACATACCCCGCAGACGTGAGCGCTAAGAAGGTGCGCCTCGGTGTCGCCGTCGACGCCATCAGCTTCATCCGCGGCAACGCCTTCACACATATCTTCACGGACGACGCAAGTGTCAACCTTGCCGATGCGTCCATGGGCCACTACCAGCTTGAGGATGCGGGGTACTTGCCGTCGCGCATGCAAGTAGACGTCCGGCTCACCAATAAAATTGCGCTGCGCAACACGTCATCGCCTCAGAACTTGGTGCTCAGCTACTACCGCATCTACTCCAAGTCGTACTGCACGGGGTGTCTTCCGATCGCCGAGCTCGGCCATGGCGTGTGCAACATGACGATGGTGTACAACCACAGCGCCAAGTCGGTCAAGGTGTCGCAGTCGACGTTCGTGGATGGGTCGTCGCACGCACTTGGACTCATGTTTCGCCAAACGCTCTTTAGCGCGGTGGCCCACTACCTCAAATTTGTGGCGCTGCTATTTGCCATTGGCGGATACCTCGCGAGCCGGCGCACGGTGCAGTGGCAGGACGTCGACGTGCACTCGACCGAGACCTTTGTGCAGCGCATCATGAAGACGGTCCTGCCCGAGTACTACCCGCACGTCTCGCACGCCCTCCGCTTTGACATGTTTTGCTACAACTCGGACATCTTTGTGCTGTTGTTTGCATCCAGCGTGGTCTTGGACATTCCAAGCGCGATCAAATTCACGCGCGAAGTCCAAGTGTTCTTGGCCGAGTGCACCAACAGTGCCATGTCGATCCAGCTCTTTGCGTTGAGCACGCGCCTCCTCTGGGTCAACTGCGGGTTTCTAAAGTTGCTCAAGTATGTGGTCAATATGATCTCGACCGCCACGTACTCTGGGGAAAGCCGCATCATGGGCCTTCTCAACTTGACCAGCGTCACGTCGCTCTATCTGAGTGCGATTTTACTCTTTTACATTCCGCCGTTCATCGAGTACAACAACAGCGTGCGTCATGACCTCAAGAATTCGCTGGAAGATTTGGACGACACCGCCGTCGACTATTACGATAGCTTTTACATCCGCGGCTTCAGCGCGGTTGTCGGCGGCTTGATGTTGAACGTGCTGCTTGTTGTCAGCCTTGACCAGCTTCTCAACCGATCGTTTTGGAAATTGATGGCGACCAACTCGCTCGCGCGCCAAGCCATGTACAACTCGACGTCGATCCTCATGGACTATATCACGGACATTGATCCGGGAGTCTTTGCTCGGAAGAACGCCATCATCCACTGCAAGGCGCGCCGACTCTGCACGCTGCAATGGTTCTTCATGTCGCACCTGTACACCTTTGGTTTGCCGGAGAAGGATCTCCGGCACAAGAAGGAGACGCGCGGGTCGACGCCGACGACGACGAGCGGCAAGGCGGGTGAGGACCGCTACGTCATTGCGCAAGATGGGGCGCATCATATTCATCTCCTCGACGGCGAGTTTACCGACGTCAAAAACTTGATGCTCAACATCAAAGTGCTCAAGGACACGCACGTCGCCATCACCTAGTCGACGTCTGTATACAGCGATTATAGCAATATCTTTTCCTGTACGTCTCCTAGCGACGCACGCCGCCGCTGTCTCTACGGTGCGCACGACCTATTAGTGCATATCTAACCGACCGCGGCGGAGAAATCTCGCAACGCATCCAAGCTTCAACCGCTTCAACGCGCTTGGAACGATGTCAAAGCCGCTAAGGCTCGCTCGACTCGCTCGACACCTCAGTTGACAATCGACCATGTCGGTCATCGTCAAGTCAAAGGGTGCTGCGTCTTATCGCGCGCAGCGTCCAGCGCCATCAACCATGCGCATTCGGTGCGTCCAGCTCACGCGTCAGCTCGTAACAAGCGCGTCGATCGTGGTTGGTCTCTGCGTCGTCTGTCTTGTCTGCATCGACTCGGTCGCCAACAACTGGGCCATCAACGACTACATTGGCAATGGCTACCAGTTTCTGACACCAATCGCAGATGCCAACCACGCCAACGACCTCCTCTCGCAGTACAGCTTTGCGACCGGAGCGAGCCTCACCGACCTCTCCAAGGTCGCCAAGCGCATGACCAACTACACCATCACCAACCTCGTGCTCCCCAACAACCCAAACATCTACGTGCTCTCGGCCGGCACGTACGCCGTCAACTCGAAAATGAACCTCTGCGCCATCTTCCAGCGCACGTACATGTCAGACCTGAACGTCGGCAAGCCGAGTTTTGGTGTGGCCGTTGACGCCATCAGCTTTCTACGGGGGAACGCCTTCACGCACGTCTTTACCGATGACACGAGCGTCAACCTCGCCAACGCGTCCATGGGCCACAAACAGCTCGAGGCAATTGGGTACTTGCCGACACGTATTCAGGTCGACTTGCGTCTGTCGGAGCAAGTCCCGCTGCGCAACACGTCATCGCCTCAGAACTTGGTGGTCGGCTACTACCGCATCTACCCCAAGGCGTACTGCACGGGGTGTCTTCCGATCGCCGAGCTCGGCCACGGCGAGTGCAACATGACGATGGTGTACAACCACAGCGCCAGGTCGGTCAAGGTGTCGCAGTCGACGTTCGTGGATGGATCGCTCCACGCTCTTGGGCTCATGTTTCCGCAGACGACCTTTAGCGCTGCGTCGTACTATCTCAAGTGCATTGCAGTGTTGTTTGCACTTGGTGGATACCTCGCGAGCCGGCGCACGGTGCAGTGGCAGGACGTCGACGTGCATTCGACCGAGACCTTTGTGCAGCGCATCATGAAGACGGTCCTGCCCGAGTACTACCCACACGTCTCGCACGCCCTCCGCTTTGACATGTTTTGCTACAACTCGGACATTTTTGTGCTGCTGTTCACCATTGGCGTCCTCCTCGATCTGAGCGCGGCCTTTATGTACTCGCGCGAAGTGCAAGTGTTTCTAGCCGTGTGCTCGAATGGCGCCTTGTCGCTGCAGCTCTTTGCTCTAAGTACGCGCCTGCTCTGGGTCAACTGCGGGTTTCTTAAGCTCTTCAAGCTTCTGTGGAGTATCTTGAGCACGGCAACGTACTCTGGCGAAAGCAAGCTCATGGGCTACCTCAATTTTACGGGTGTCACATCGCTCTATTTGAGTGCAATTTTGCTCTTCTACATTCCGCCGTTCATCGAGTACAACAACACGTTGCGCATCGATCTCAAGAATTCGTTTGAACAGCTTGATGGGACACACGTCGACTTGTACAACAGCTTTTACGTGCGCAGCAGCGGCGCGATTGTCGGCGGTTTGATCTTGAACGTGCTTCTCGTTGTCGGCCTCGATCAACTTGTGAACCAATCGTTTTGGAAACTTCTCGCGACCAACTCGCTCGCGCGCCAAGCCATGTACAACTCGACGTCGATCCTCATGGACTATGTCACTGACATTGATCCGACGATGCTGGAACAGCACTCGTCGAGCATCAACTGCAAGGTGCGCCGGCTCTGCACGCTCCAGTGGTTCTTTACGTCGCACCTTACGGCGTTTGGCTTGCCCGAGAAGGAGCTCCGCGTCAACAAGAAGCAGGCGCACACCAAGAGCTTCATCTCGGCGGTCTCGGCGTTTGCAAGTGGTGGCGAGGACGGCGCTGGTGACGGCACGTTCGTGCTTGCGCAGGACAGTGGCCGCCGTGTGCATCTCCTCGACGACCACTTTGCCGACGTCAAGAGCCTCGTCCTCAACATCAAGATCCTCAAAAACACGTCCGTGTCGATTCGATAAGGCGCAATGCATTCAAACGCTAGGCTATTCATATTTGGGCCTCTGTCCCTGAGCAACAACGTCGCAGCGGGCATATCTGGTCGGCACCGAGGTCGTGTGCATCAGAACATTCGATCAAACTGACAACCTTGAGTGGGCTAGGGTTACGGCCGCGTCAAGGGTCGCTCACCAACGTGGCCAGTGCGATGACGTACTGAGCGCCCGTCGCCAAGGAGCGAAGTCTCGGCGGGCGATGGCCGCGTCTGGGCACAGACAAGAAGGTTTTTGTATACGACCAACAACGTCACGTAGAGTGTGCTGCTGGATTCCAACTGGGGGCAGTCGTCTCTGTGTTTGACAACGTCGTCTGCGGCGCCAACATCCTTAACCCGTACACGTTCGGATAGCGTTTTAGAGACTAGATCGATTTCGAGCTCAATCTCTTGGTTTGGAATGAGAACTCGTGTCAACGAATTGGTCACAAGGTCACTCTACGAATGAAATAGCTGCGTTGTTATCTCTATAGACGTATTGTACATATTGTATGCAACAAATGTAACATTATGGTTAGTAAATTGAGACGGCCGTGTTTTTGAGGATCTTGATGTTGATCACCAAGTTCTTCACATCACGAAGGTCGGCGTCGAGCAGGTGCACGTGTCGCCCGCTGTCCTGCACCACAAGGTACCGGTCGGCCGTCGGCTTCTCGGACTTTTCGGAAGCCGTCTCGGCTTGCGTGAGGAGCCCCGAGGCTTGCGTCGCGTTCTTGCTCGCACCACCTTGTGGTTGCAGTTTCTTGACGCGGAGCTCCTTCTCGGGCAGCCCAAATGTCGTCAAGTGGGACATGAGGAACCACTGGAGCGTGCAGAGTCGACGCGCCTTGCAAAAGATGACGGCATTCGATTTCGACCGCTGCTCCAGGAGCTTCGGATCAATGTCAATGATGTAGTCCATGAGGATCGACGTCGAGTTGTACATGGCTTGGCGCGCGAGCGAGTTGGTCGCGAGGAGTTTCCAGAACGACCGGTTCACAAGTTGATCGAGGCCGACGGCTAAAAGCACGTTGAGAAGCAAGCCGCCGACAATTGCGCCGCTGCTGCGAATGTAGAAGCTTTCGTAATAGCTGACGGGTGTCCCATCGAGTCTTTCAAACGCATTTCGAATGTCTTGTCGAATATGGTTGTTGTACTCGATGAACGGCGGAATGTAGAAGAGCAAAATTGCACTCAAATAGAGCGATGTGACACCCGTAAAATTGAGGTAGCCCATGAGCTTGCTTTCGCCAGAGTACGTTGCCGTGCTCAAGATACTCCACAGAAGCTTGAAGAGCTTAAGAAACCCGCAGTTGACCCAGAGCAGGCGCGTACTTAGAGCAAAGAGCTGCAGCGACAAGGCGCCATTCGAGCACACGGCTAGAAACACTTGCACTTCGCGCGAGTACATAAAGGCCGCGCTCAGATCGAGGAGGACGCCAATGGTGAACAGCAGCACAAAAATAGTCCGAGTTGTAGCAAAACATGTCAAAGCGGAGGGCGTGCGAGACGTGTGGGTAGTACTCGGGCAGGACCGTCTTCATGA